ATATGTTTTGTCTGGGCCAAAGCTAATGTGGAGAATTTTTTTACCTTCAGAATTGAAAATCTCAAAGTTGTGATGAGTCCTGTTGTGATTAAACCTCATGAGGTCTGATGATGTGGGTGTTTCTCAAACTGGACTCCTTAAAAGAAGCAGATCTGAGCTCAGGTAGGAGTTTGTGTGATTCACACGCTGTCTTACTCCTAACTGTAAACTTTAGCCATGACACCATTGTGGCGTTGATGGTTTACTTTGATGACTTGCTGGAAACTATTTTTGCGTTTGAGGTTTTTGTCATCATGTCAGTTTTACTTGTGACTAATTCATCCGTTGAAGGTCTTCATGATTAATTTACAAACTAAAATAAGGATGAAAATAAATTCTTCACAGGTTTTATATTTCACTCTGAGTGCCTACGTAGATATCAGTACGTGCACATACTGCATATTTATGATTGTTATGAGTATTTATGTGTTAATCATTGGTTGTAATGTTGTTCTGATCGTGGTCATCTGTGTGAACAGGAGTCTTCATGAACCCATGTACATGTTTCTGTGCAGCTTGTTTGTAAATGAGCTGTATGGAAGTTCAAGCTTGTTTCCATTCCTGCTGGTCCAGGTTCTCTCAGATGTTCACACTGTTTCTGCTCCTGTTTGTTTCCTGCAGCTCTTTTGTCTTTATTCATATGCAAGTGTAGAATTTACTAACCTAGCTGTGATGTCTTATGACAGATATGTTGCTATCTGTCACCCTCTGCAATATAAAACAATAATGTCACAAAGAAGAATTGTTTTTCTGATATGTCTCATATGGTTGCCTCCTTTTTTAGCCGTCAGTGTCACAACCTTTTTGAGTTTATCTTTGCAGCTCTGTGGGAACATCACTAACGACATTTACTGCAACAATCACTCCATCATAAAACTGGCCTGTTCCGAGCCCAGAGTTAATAATGTCTACGAGCTTGTCATGACTTTTCTGACAGTCTGCGTTCCAGTGTCTGTGATCCTTTACACCTACATGAGGATCCTTAAAGTTTGTTTTTCTGGATCCAAACAGACGCGACAGAAAGCCGTCAGTACCTGCACACCTCACCTGGCTTCTCTGCTCAACTTCTCTTTTGG